GTGACTAGTGCTTAGAGCGTTATGTCTAGAACATTGTCTGTATGTGACTAGTGCTTAGAGTGTTATGTCTAGAACATTGTCTGTATGTGACTAGTGCTTAGAGTGTTATGTCTAGAACATTGTCTGTATGTGACTAGTGCTTAGAGTGTTATGTCTAGAACATTGTCTGTATGTGACTAGTGCTTAGAGTGTTATGTCTAGAACATTGTCTGTATGTGACTAGTGCTTAGAGTGTTATGTCTAGAACATTGTCTGTATGTGACTAGTGCTTAGAGCGTTATGTCTAGAACATTGTCTGTATGTGACTAGTGCTTAGAGTGTTATGTCTAGAACATTGTCTGTATGTGACTAGTGCTTAGAGTGTTATGTCTAGAACATTGTCTGTATGTGACTAGTGCTTAGAGTGTTATGTCTAGAACATTGTCTGTATGTGACTATGTGATGTCTAGAACATTGTCTGTATGTAGTGCTTAGAGTGTTATGTCTAGAACATTGTCTGTATGTGACTAGTGCTTAGAGTGTTATGTCTAGAACATTGTCTGTATGTGACTAGTGCTTAGAGTGTTATGTCTAGAACATTGTCTGTATGTGACTAGTGCTTAGAGTGTTATGTCTAGAACATTGTATGTATGTGACTAGTGCTTAGAGTGTTATGTCTAGAACATTGTCTGTATGTGACTAGTGCTTAGAGTGTTATGTCTAGAACATTGTCTGTATGTGACTAGTGCTTAGAGTGTGATGTCTAGAACATTGTCTGTATGTGACTAGTGCTTAGAGTGTTATGAGAACATTGTCTGTATGTGACTAGTGCTAAGAGTGTTATGTCTAGAACATTGTCTGTATGTGACTAGTGCTTAGAGTGTTATGTCTAGAACATTGTCTGTATGTGACTAGTGCTAAGAGTGTTATGTCTAGAACATTGTCCTTCAGTTCTGTTCATGAATATCAGTTGTTAGCCAATGTTTATATTTTATTGTCCTTATTTGAAATCCAATTTTAGAGGGGGGTGCTAAAGTACTGTCGGAAATAGAAAAAAACTGTGTTTAGGCTGTTACTCTGTATCCCTAAAATTTACACAATTGAAAATAGCACATGTCGAAATAACCCACATCGGCCTAACTTGGCGTTCAGAGGGATGGTAATAGGATATCCAGAAAATCATGTTTACTCTTAAAATCTGGCAAAACTTAGAAAAACGTTTCCTATCTCCCTCCCACCGCGACTGTAGTTAGGCCGAACTTGGTTTAACAGATATTCCACACTTTCACATATTAACTACCTAAATTGTAGATATAAATGTGAAAAGACAGGGGTATTTTTTCTATTTCCGACAGTACTTTAGTTTTTATTCCTTGATACTGTGATATTCTAGTTGTTTTACTGTCCCTCGATGACAGGTTTTTATAATTTACATGTATTTATGATGAATTCGAAACTTGTTTTAGTCACGATGTGGCTGAAATAATGCCGATGTGACTGTAAATCTCAACTCACTCACTAACTCACTGTTCATGAATAATCTGTTAACTATATACACGGACTGTGTGCAGTCATCAAAGCATATCAGTATTGGTGGCTATGATCGCCTGTTCTACACAGTCAGGTAGGCAGCGGGAATATGTTGTACATATAAGGCCATATACGCCATATCGTAATCATGTGATCAACAACGTCGATTGTGTACATCAGCCCTCAGCCATATACGTAAACGATAAAGGGTTCATATTAACATAAACCTGTATGTAATTTAACAGATGTCGTTATGTAGCGGTCAACATATCACAGTTTGTTGATGCTCGCAAAACGTTCTGCCGGTAGTTAACGGTACGTACGAACGTTTAAACATTTTACAGGTCAAATAATTCAACGTGAATGTAGGAAATTACATGTAAATTGTATGGAACACTGCAAGGGACCTTCCCGCGAACAAGTTCGAGAACGCGAGAATGTCCCATACATTATTTCATAAAATAGTGATACAGAGCATCAAAATGTAACCTCATCCTTGACATCAGTATACGTATAATGTTGTAAATATTTGGAACGGCAACAGAATGGAAACTGTGCATGTACTTGGAACCACGGTACACTCTTCATTTGCACCCAACAGTCGAATGTTTTATGTCTGTGAAAAGTGAAGTGGTTGAAAGTATTCAACCGTTTCTAGTTTAACATATACGCTACGAATCGCTAACATCTATGTTATAAATCCAGGTTACACTTGATATTTTGGAAACACTCGCGGCAGTCAACCAAAAAGCCCTAAAGACACACCTTTATTGCATTGCGTTAAGGTCCTGTGGGGGCGTTAAGATCCTGTGACAGCAAATGCCGTTTACAGTTGCATGATAAATGTCCTATGGGGCTCTATGTAAGAAGGCTCAGTTGGATTTCTTTGACGTGTACGGCATAGAAATTGTTTGAAAAGAAACGTTATTGTACATTATGACCTTAATGACAGAAGGCGATGTTTGCGTCTCCAATACGATGAAAACAATTAAAGTTAAACCAGTCCTTAGCATTATCAACCATAGGTCATGAAGGGCGTTACTAAAGAAACCACAATAAGAATGTTCTACAAAACCTACAACAAAAACACAAAATAAAAGGTCAAATTTATACAACGCCCCCAGAGGACCAGTAATATATTTTTAACGATTTTTGGCATTCTAATTACATTGTGGTATTTCCAACGCTTCGACTTGTATGTATCAAGGCTGATAAATGTTTTCAAGAAGGAATTTTGTAATATTTGAACATAAGCATGTATATCACCTATGGTGATTTCCTTAGTTACAAGCATGGCGCATGTATGATACAATATTTATAGCGGCTGACATTAGATTGCCTCTAAAGATTTATCACCTGTATACAGTACATCCCAGGTCACGGCCTGTCAGCTTACATTTATTTAGAAAAGTCATACATAAAGCAATTTTAGCACTATTCCAGCAATCACGACAGGATGACAGCAACCATGGGCTTCACATATTTGAGGGCAAGAACCTTCGGCTTGACGAGTTATTGCTTTCTCTGCCATTCTACCCCACAACACCTTCCGATATTAAATACTGTATTTCGTCACGGTTTAAGAAAATGAGATCCCGAAAATAGGTTTATCTTCTAAATGACAAGAACTCTTTCTTTTCAGAGAGTCCATATTTGCATCCAATGTTTCAGGCGTCACAATTTGCTGTGTCGAGTAGCGTCCCTTTGACACGACACAAATATGATCACGGGTTCGAATCACAGTTTAGTCATGGTTATGAAGGTTTGTTATTGTATATGTTCGCGTGGTTTTCCACAAGATATAAACATCTAAGATGTGCACCACTTCAGGCTGTCCTGCCTTCCACAAATAGTTCTCCCATCCAGGATAAGTGAAATATTGTTCAAAACGGGTTTAAAACCACAGCCAACCTGACGTTCAACCTGCTTGTCTGTTTTAATACACAATACACTGCTACTTTAGAAGATCTGGGTAAAATTCGTCTTCAGTAACTAACCCATGCTTGTCGCAAGAGGCGAGTAATGGATCGGGTAGTCAGGCTCAACTTGGTTGACACATGTCATGTCCGCAAAGCTAAGGAAGCGTTATGTGATCGTAACTCCCATAGCTTAACCTAACCTTACGACAGTCGTCGCTACGGTCGCTTTGTGGAACCAGTCCCGGGGTGACGTTGTACAAATCATCCTTAGCACTATGACTATTTGAAGTCTATGTTGAGGTATTGGACGATCACCTTAGCGCTAAGGTTGTTTTGTACAACGGCACCCTGAACATTGTACACCGTGTCCAGACCATTCGCATTTCACGGGCGACCATTACGTTCATTTTCGAAATGGTTAAATTACCAAATAAAATATCAAAAGTCGTTTATAAATGCTCATTTTTCATATTTGTTCACAAGTGTATTAAATTGTTACCAATTAAGACAATATGAACACTTCACCAACCAACAAATACAGCGTTCTTTGAAATAAGAAATTAAACATGTTGTATATTATAAAAATACATGATATCGTGGAGATTATGTCTTGTTTAAAACAATGGATGAAATCGATCTGTCTAATTTGTGTTTATGCCACCATTCCTTGATCTGTACCTAGTTACAATGACGCACGGCTAAGTCCGGAGTAGTCGCAGTGTTCTAGTATACCGTTGATACTGCATGTATAGATATTTTATAACTTCTTTTATCGTCTGAAGAGCTAAAAAATGATGCATTGCCTGTGTACACGGACTATGAATGGGGTATGCCACTCAGTTGATAAACAAATTGTTCTATAAAAATATGCTTCAAATCATCCATTCATCACATGTGAAAACAACCCATTTAATTTGTGGCGATGTGCGAGGACATGAGACAAATATAGTTTTATCGACGTATAAAGAGAAAGTGATGAAGCAGATTTACAATTTTCAGCCAATTGCCATCGCAGTTTACATAATTACATCGCTTTTCGAATTTTTTTTACCAGTATCAATATTATGTAAAATTTAAAACGAACGAAATGTCAACGGTACTGCTGTAAACATCAAGGTTAAATAGCGAAGTTTATTTCGTTTGGGAGTTTTCCATCAACAAAGTGTATTTGCAGTATACTATTAAAACGTCAGGTACACTAATATTAATATTGTATCCACGAAAGGAAAATTTCCACCTCAACGCACACCTGCACGTTATAAGCAGTTTACTCAAGAACACTAATATTGAATCTACGGTAAAGAGTGTTTTCACTGATATCTTATTTATTCATCTGTACTTCTTTTCAAATGAGAGAAAATATTTCAAATTAAAAAACAAAAACAGCGTAAATAATAACCAGTCATATTGGATCAATTGTGGAAAAAAGACAAAATCTGTATGAATAACAAAAACTCGGTATTAACCAAGAACAACCCCAATTGAACACTAAAATCAGAGTAAAACGACTTGAATATGTGTGCCAATATTATTTCACACATACTAGTAGTGATGCTACATGAGATGTCTCACCTGTGAGGATGGCAGCTAGGGTGACGAGTATCCCCAGGTTGGATGGGGCCATTTTTGGTGGTGTCATTCCACCAACATACTTCCACGTTGATTTCACAAGACAGAATGAACGTTTACTGCTTAGTACAAACACAAAAATATCTCACTATTTCCGCGGCCTATCTCCCACACTTAAAAATTGATCACGGTATTGATATGTCTTAAGCTGTAATCCAGCAAAGGAAATTATGTCGTGACGGGCTTGTATTGTCATCGGGGAATTCGGCAAGCACCTGTCGCATAGTCCAATCACTGGTGACTGCAAACCGTCTCTCAAAGGAGCGCTTTAATTATTCAAACACTCGCAAATCAGCAGGGGCCCTAAACGATGCGTTAAAAAGAACAATCGTTTTGAGGACAGGTTCAATACGACCCAAATCTCTCTGAACGAAAACTTGTGAAACCACTCTTTTTCTGAGACTTAATTAGTGCAGCTGCAATAAAACCAATTTATTCCCGTTGTTTTCCGGTTTCTGACGGAGCGTATGCATTAAGACACTGTATAACAGCTGGCTATTATATACCAATAAACGGGTGCGTTTAGGTATCGCCTCCATTGTTCTTGCCAGCGTAGTCAATAAAGGGGGATAATTTGTTGCCATACGATAAACCCATTCTAAACAATTACTGAACGCTCGTGGCTGTCTCTGTTGTGATGGCGCTACGCGTGGTCTCCATGGCGAGCAGTTCTTCCGCGATAATTGACCAGCAGGGGAGATATTCCATTACACAGCATTAGTAAATAATTTTTGTACTCATGCAATAAAGAATGATATCAGAGGATTAATGAGCAGATCGTTGTTACGTGATCCATCAGCTTGCCATTCAGATCATAACTTATTACTGCAGGCTGTTATGCAATCCTAGCGGTACGTGCGCACGTCACCGTACTGTGGTACAGCTTCTGAGAAGGACTTCATCCATAGCGGATATATTTACAAATTACGGAATGTTGTGCGAAATTCACTAAGTTTGAAACATCCATAAAATACACAACTCCATATCTTTGCTCTCGTATTTCCGTTATATAAGTATTTTAAGACACCAGAGTTGTGTAAACATTAACGTACAATTTTAAAACTATTATCAAGATGTAATTGTGATGCTACGTTCACACTATCATGACTGAAATCGTGGTACTAATCGTGTTGATCGTAGAAACATTTTGGACGGTTCAAAAAGATTCTACGATCAACCCGATTAATTGTCAATGGTCACCATCGCATCAGATCGTATTGAATCTTAACAAAGCGCAACATATCGCGTCTAATTGTGCTTCCAAATCGTGGTGATCGGAATCAATCGTGGTTGTGGGTTGTAGTGTTCACTCTGTTGAAGTTCAAGAAACAGTAAAGTCCATGGTCAGTCGGGCTGTATATACATCCGTCGGGGTCCAATCGTAGCTCAAATCGTGATCACCTCGATCATGATCGTGAAAGACATGACGACCACACTCGTATCCTATCGCAACAGAGTGCATCGGTTCGTGATGAACGTATCGGAACGTACAATCGCTTCTTTGTCCCTTCTATTTTATCAAAACATCAAATATAAACCCAAAACCTTTACATAAAACTGTCTACAAATGAACACGAAGAACATGGTTCCAATACAAATTCAAAACAGTTCTAGCTGAATTTCCATTATATATGCGTATTATGTCGTCTAACCTAACAAGTGAGAAGGGTGCGAGTCAAAAATGACAAACTGCTACCACCCTCGAACGTAAAACTGCGAAATGGAAGATGGCGTCCACTCGTCAAACCAAAGGTCCATGTTCGATTGAACATTTGGTGCAGCAAGTGAAGCCCATTCGTCCGCTCCATGCCGTGACTGTGCTGGAATCATGATACACGCGGCTCACCATACTCATTCCCCAATCAAGCACTGAACCCCCTTTAGCAAAACGATAATATCAAAAACACTGTTTAACACTAACGGACGACAGTGGTGGCTCAACCAGCTTCGTGACAAGGAACCATAGAGCGTGAACGATCTAACTTGCTGAAATCGAACATTTTTAACGACACCACTTAAGCCAAGCTATTTCTGACTATATCTAATCACAGGGGATGCCCATATACCATGGATAAGCAAATTATGCAGCAACATTGAACGGTTACGTGAGACCTACGGGATGTTTACGCATTGACATCGACAACACCGCGAAACAATGGACGTCTTCAGACTGAGGTTCCGTTGTCATCAGACATTTATAGTGTAAGTTATAAGTTATAACAAAACAAAACTGCAGTCAGGCGCACACATGACGGGATGTGATTATAATTTACGTCTAGCTGATCTCTTCCATACAATCGATATGACGGCATCCCTGAAGAAATAAGTGACACTTATTGCTGGTCTGATAGACACTGGCTCGACTTTCTACCCGGAACAAACCGACGGCTAATATTGAAAATGTCGGTAAATGTCATAAATATATAACGTCTGCATCAAAGAATAGTGAGTGAGCGAGTTTAGTTTTACCCCGCATTTAGCAATATTTCAGCAATATCACAGCGCGGTACACCAGAAATAGGCTTCACACATTGTGCCCATGTGGGGAATCGAACCCGGGTCTTCGCCGTAACGAGCGGCGCTTTGACCACTAGGCTACGGCACCATCCCTATCATGGAGCCCCGTTCAACGTAACTGATTGTTCATCTGGTTATGGTGTTTCCCCACCGTCCAGCCAGAGAATCACCAGTCTCGAGTATTCCACCAAACAGATTCCACTGGGCTTGAAAAGGCAAAATTGCAGTGAAAATTACATCAAAACAATCACGGATGGTCAGTGAAGACACGACAGGTATTCTCGTCAAAGATACGATTGCCCTGTCCTTCCCCTAGTTCCCTAGTGTGTATTTTATGTAATAAGCGTTACGGGAGAATTTTCTAAAAACTCCATTTCTTCACCGATTTCATTCAAATTTGAAATATAAGTTACTCATAACATATAATAACAATATAAGGCTGCAAAAATCTAGAATTTTATTTTTTAAAAATTATTGTCCAAACAGTGATTCGAACCCCTGTGACTGGCACGACTTCAAAGCCCCTTCTTGCCGATCTGTTTCGTTATAGATATACTGCGAAATGCCGGATCGTCCTGGCAAAATCTAATATGGGAAATCGACAAAGACGTTTAATTTAAGCGTCGGATAAATCGATGATCTGATATATGTGAAATAGTATACCTTTCACTGATTTACCAACCTGAACTAGAAATAAAATGAAAACGCCTCTTCTGCTTCATGTTTAGAGTGACAAAACACACCACATCTTTTCAATTACCAACCTCACCTATCCAACAGCTCCAGCTCCTCGTGTCTACATTTTACAACGTTTTGAGCATCATAGTTATATTTCCAATATTTCCAAGTGCGTCGTACTAATTTCGCTCAATCGTAATATAAAAAGAAGGCTTCAACATTCAAAGTCTCAACAAAGATAGATTGACTGATTGATTTATATACTTGGTGGTAGACACGTGCAACAGACTCTACCAAGACAATCGAGGTGTTAGGGGTGAAACGATACAGCTCAATCTCGATACGATACGTATCACGATACATAGGTCATGATACGCTACATCGCGATGTGGATATTTACGTCAAACCATTAACAAACTTCTGGACTATGAATACTTCAGATCAGGTTCAAGCTAGCTTAACTGTCGTTGCGGTTATTTTTGTAAGTGAAACTTAACGCAAATTATAACACATTTTTCAATATTTGACTGACAAAAGCGCTGGGTCTCAATGAAAGTGTAGCAAGTAATTGTATTAGCAAACGCCTTTCGCGTTTGCGCCTCTGCCTTGCGCAAATTTCAGAGCAGCGGGTAAAGTATAATGTTTCGCATCCCTAATGAAAAGTGTAAGAGTGAGCTGCGTGTGTCCGCGACTGCTGTAGAAAGGCAATTGTGGTGTCAGCTGAGGTCGTATCAGTGTGCGAAATAGCCACTGGCCCGTTAGCCCGTGGCTAGTAAAAATCTAGTCGGGCCAGTAAATCTGGTGGTGAATTTTAATGGGGTCAATATATCACTCTCCGACTTGTTAAGTTCCAACGAACTTTATATCATGCAAGATTATGGCCTGATAAAAATGTTCATCATATTAGCAGCTTTTTTTTATGAAACCCGTGTCTACATTCAAATTTCGGGCGAGTGAATTATTTTGTGGGCTAGTAACTTTCACGCATAGCTAGCCCGACTGGCTAGCAAAATTTGGAAACTACTTGGTTCACTGGGTCGTATGCATGTCTGATTTGATGTGTTAATAATCGGTAGAGACGAATGGCCAGCATATAGTATGTTAAATGATGACTATACAATATCTAGGCGCTTAAGCACATTAATTGGTGCAAAAATATTAAATCGTGTTAACCGGAACTGATTTAAATCATTAATGAACGCAACTGTTTAACATCAATAACCTGGTGACCTTAGCCTCTGACCTTCACGTGTCATGCAGGCACACATTAACAGTATCATTCAAAATAGTTTATTCCAGCTCAAAATACTTTTCAAACATACAGATGATACGAATTCATCTAAAAATGACCTAAAATACATCAGATCAATTTCCTTTCTGATTAATAGTGATGCCAGGTCACAATTACAATAGACACACTGTGTAGAGGGCATTTCACATAATTAGCTTCAGCTGAAACTTCTGTAATGAAACTGGTAATGGCTTCCCCGGGTATATCAGAATAAACATTTAATAATATTGTGAAATATACAACTACATTTTGGGTGAATGGAAGAGGTTTTATTGGTTTGGGGGGAGTGGATGTACGTCAGCTCCATGTGGGGACAGATACACAAGATATGACGATATAACCTACATTTTCAATGTGGTGAGCCTAAACCTTAGTAACTAGGCTACAACATCTAGCGCACATCCTAGCTTACGATAAAGAACAGGTTCCACATATTAAATCAATATTTGCATGATATTACACATCTTTTATTATGATGCTGCACAGCAAGGTTTGGCGTTTATCATTATGCTTATCACCAGAGAACACAATGGGATCTTCTTGAATTGAAGGAAAACGTATCAGTAAGGATATATACATTGTATGTATTAATGCAGCAATACATTCAAACGTTGCCATGGGTTTCATCTAACACTGAATTAGCACTGAAAATGCCACTAGTTCATAATCTAACATCCCTAATCACTAAAAAGAATAAAGTTACTCAATAAACGATCTACATGTACTTGGAGAGATCAGCTACTGGCAGGCATGTACATATCTAAAACTATACATGCTTCAGTTCACTACAGGGGCAAGCTGCTCTGACAACTTCAATACACACGAATTGATAGTCATTAGGAAAGTATGTTATAAACGTGTTACAATGTTAAAATTGCTGCCTTCGAAATGCACAAGGGGAATATTTTCGAAATTCCTGAACTGTAAATGGCACCAGGTCGGCTCAAGCTATTAAATCAATTTAGATACTACTGATAATCTGCTACGAAATAGTAACAATTTGATATATACTATAGATCGCTGCAACCAAAGGTGCCAATGTGTGGCGTAGGTTGTGGCAAAAGGGAGGTTACTCTGATTTGAAACAGAAAGGTAAAGGTCGTACAATATTGCCTGGTGCAGCTGGAGCTAGGTAGATGCCGGCACAAGCTAGATACATAGCCTTCACTAACATCATCGCGTTCATGTTAGTGAATGCTACTGTATGTATCTTAGCTATGTCGGCACAGGTACTACAGAAATGAACACGGGTCTCTTTCAGACTCCTCAGCGTGAGGTTTGTCCAACTATTCCTCCTATTACACCTATTAACCCTGCTATTTTTAACACAATTAAGTGTTTTCTTAATTTAGTGTCAGTACACCTTTGGTTAATCAAGTCCATAAGACCTTCAACACCCAATGAACCGATTTGGGGACGTGGAAGATGTAACCCGATGTTGCCACATTACACTGCTGGCTGTATATATTTCATTTATTATAACCCATATATCTTGCCACTGGACTTTTAAGTTACTTATATTTAGAAGTGAATATCCAAAGGATGAATGGGGCATTGTAGGTAGCATCACACACATTTTCATAACCAAAGAAAATGTTTCCCTTACCATCAAACAACCCTATGGTGTTAAATTAATAACAATTCTTAACATATTCTGTGTATAGAATAACAAATATTACAGATAAACAAACACATCAATACAGACACAACATTTATAAATAGAGTAACACAATTTAGAGTTTCAAATCATATTAAGTGATAGAAGTATTTACATTTTGCTGTGTACAAAAGGTACATACATCAAATTGTCTGAATGAGATTATGTTGTTCTTTTAGAATAGTTTACAAAAATATGCAGTTTCATAAATGCTGTAAAAGTTCCAACTAATATTGCGCCAGATCAAATGTCTTTTTTAGTACAGAGTGAACAGTCTCTTGATGAAGCTGAATACACTGGGGCAGCATGTTGTCTCAAGTGACTGTGGTAGGCTTGTTTCTCCAATATCATTCATGTCAATAACCACATAAGTCTCAGAGCTGACATGCTGTACTGCAAATGGCCCAGTGGGATCTCCCAAGTCTATCTCGGGTATGTCTTCATCCAGGTTCATGGAGGAGCCATATAGAGAGCGAAGGGCAGGGTTTGGGGAGGGGGTCTGGGTTACAGGCTGGGAATTGACTTCAGCAGTTGGGAGCTTAGAGAGCAAAGAGAACAGATAGTTAGCACAAGTAAAGTGGACAGAAGTGTAAAATATAGTTCATGAAATATGAATGAGGGTTAGTCATAATCTATGATTCAAACCAGTTGGAATATAGAAATGTGTTAACCTGTGAAAACAATTCAAATGTCAAAGTGATCTAAATATGTTCACCAAAGAGCAAGTGTTCTATGTTTAGTCACAAGCTCTCAGTTTAGACACAGCCACAATAGTGTTTCCTAATGCTCTAGATGACCTACTGGGAGAGGTTCAGGAAGGTCGGAGAGGGAGGCAGCTACGGTTGGTGGTCGAGGCTTTCTCAACTCTTCCCGAGCTGGCGTGGGAAATGAAGCAAAAAAATATGGTGCATAAACCTCTGAAAAGGTTCTGCTCATATAAATGTCAGAAGTACAATCAACGTATTATCAAGGACACTTTCGTAATGAGGTTACAAGAGGACACTGATAATGATAGAATAAGAAACTAAAATAACAGCTAAGGTAAATCCCATGCCTTGAAATTAAAATGCATATAAATTATAATATGTTTTTAAAATATTCTCCAAATTCAATGCAGTATCCATCATACGGCTGAAGTTGTCGATATAGTTACGACCATGGAAATCGTGTCAGACAATGGAAAAGGTTTGTTGATCAACAACAAAATGCATCCTTCGGTTCCAAAGATATTGGATGTAGATCTATTTGAAAACAAAGCAAATACCAACACAAGATTTTAATAAGATACCTTGATGATAAACGCTTGCAACACTCGTAAACATGGTGCTGAGCTTGTGAGAAGTGAGTAACAAATCGCAAGTTATTAGAAGAACTTTGAAGCGTTACAGTGATGCTAAACAACAATGGCGTCGTTTACAGACAGAAGTCACCATGGAGACATTCTCGCGAGATCACAACGGTTTTTGATGAACTTGTACTCTGTATATGATGAACTGGTACCGTATATGTTGTGCGCAGAACGTTATCCAGTCTCCTTCCTGAGGCGAATGATTACAACCTCATTCAAGTCATAATAATTATCACAATGGAAGGGCACCAAGAATTGGTGTCAGAAATGCTACTTGTGTTGGGAATCGAACCCATCTCAGAAGACTAGGTCACTGGGGCCCCATTTTATTTCTGTTCTAACGAACTGCATTCAAGACAGATAACTACTGATAGGCTACTAAATTTGCAGGCTCTCCCAGCGACATCAAACAAAATCAGAGTGTGAAAAGGGTGGTTCAAGTGGACGATTTGGAGCTCTGAGTTTTAAATTTTTAGTTTTCAGTCTTCAAGTGATTAAAAAAATAAACTTTCCTAATGTCATTCACATCTTTCTACAAGGTAGCCTATGGTTTTGTCCAAACCAGCAATTGTGGTAAGTCAAAGTAGTGCCAAGTCTATTAGTAGCATATTTCATCAATAAAAACCTTAGAAATGACTTTTAAAATCTAGTAAACAAACTATCGTCAGTCTTCATTGTGGTAAAGGAGAGCAAAACACAAAATTGCGTGACAATGAGTCTACTTACTCAGGGAAGTTTCAGAAGTGAGTGTTTTGGCGGGTGGGGTGGGTGTATGTCTCAACAATTTAATTGATAAATAAATAAAACTTCAACATCAAAGTGTTTTAACCGAATTTTAGAACAGGTTTCTAAACTTCAGCGCAAAATGCAAACTGAGCATATAGCTAAAGTTGGCGATCTGTAGGACAAACAGAACTAACATTCTCGTATATAATACATTTCCATCCAATGAAATACAACTGCATTCGAAATCACGGCAGTCGAATAAATATTCTCTAATGTATGCTATCACTAACTGTCTATATTTCATTTCTTGATATCACAAAATAAACTATTCATGTCACTAATATCTATTGATATAACAGATTCTATTTTTTGCAGTCAATGAATGGTGCATCATCGCCAATACGGCTATTGTAACATAGCTGCGAATCTACAGTCGTGTAGTACATACACACAAAGCTAGACGAATACAAAATACATATTGAAAGGTTTCAGGGACATTTTTACTGAATCTCAATTTGTAACTTCAAAAGACATTTACCTTACACAAAAACATTTCATCTAGAAATGTAAATCCAGTCCCTATTATATGGGCAAGAGACATTGTTCCAAATCTGCCTCTCTACATTCAGCCTGGCAATGAGAATGCAAACCTCCAAGTAATGGTCTATGTTGTGTGCTCCCTAGGGGGGTGAGAATGCATGCAATATGAGTACCAACTGGTCCATTAACTTGGAGGCATTAATTGTGTAACACAATGTGAATGCATTAGGAAGTGCATACAGCACAATATAAACATGCATTTTTCATCGATATTATCATTATTAATAAAAGCGAATTGGGCGTCTCACTGACAATTGCCGTTTGCGTAAGAATCGGGTACATGATTTGTGATTCTCAATCTGTGCCAGTGGATAATCAGTGCAATGTCCAATATGCATATTCAGCATATTAAGATTATTATTAACTGTATCAAATATATACAGCCTTCACCTTGCGTAAGCAGGTGCGGCGGGGTATGCCTCGTGGATAAAATTGTTCGCTCGTCACGCCGAAGAATTAACCGTAGTACGATTCCCAGCATGGGTACATTATGTTTTGGGGTTTGGGTGAAGCTTTCATTTCTGGTGTCCCCTGTGATATTGTTGGAATATTGCTAAAAGCGGCGTAAAACCATCCTCATTCACTCACTCAACTTGCTGCATTATATTTGTTGTGTTTGGCTGTTTTCATGCATATCTGTAGTTTGTTTGGAAAAGCACCGTTTCACCATGCTGGGACACGTAATGCGTGTACATTGTGCGTAGTTGATCACAAAACTATATGAAAGAATGAACGTAGTATAATAAATGTAATAATTATCAATATAGCACCAGAAATATGCAACATGAATTAGTTTAGTTTTACGCCGCTTTTAGCATTATTCCAACAATATCACCAGAAATGGGCTTTACACGTTGAACCCATGTGGGGAAACGAACCCGGGTCTTCGGTGTGATGAGCGAACGCTGTAACCACTAGGCTACCCCACCGTCCCGAAATTCGCAAGACACATGGAACAATACATATACGATTATTGAATTACCATCATTCAAACACCTTGACGTGAAGAGCGTTAACGATACCTCATATTCATTTAGTTTTTAAGTTTTGCTAGACAGAACCATAAAGAATCAGGGGTTTACCATACCAAGAGCCACTTAGTACAGCAATACAGTTTTAGCAATATTCCAGTAACAACAGAAAATGGCTACACCCATTGTACCCAGATGGGAATTAAACCCGGTATTCGGCGTGACGAGCGAACACTTTAACCAGTGGACTACTGCACTGCCCGGTTTGGCCAAGAAATGCCACTTGATCTTCTACAAGGTTCAATGTTTCGTTGCTCATGACGAGGTCGCTAGTGGCTGGGTCGCCAGTTAATTGTAACATGGTAATAAGTCTGTTTTAAATAGTGAAGAGCAATGTGCTTGGTGACTGAACAGGCGGAATGCGGTGGGTTGGCGTGCAGCACACGTGCTGCACGTGAAGCACATGCTATCTTTCCATGTCAGCTGTGTTTATCGGCTGCATGAAGATCTTCCTGTCATGTAGTAATTGTTGGCTTTTTGGTTTTGTTTGGTAAGTTTGTTTTGAAAGTCATAGTGTGTGAGGTTTTTCTGCCAGGTTTAGCAACATTGCATCAATATTCTTGACGACTATACACTACTAGGCCTATGGTCAAGTCGTGATCTTAAGGTATATGTGGTATGATCGAGAGCGAGTGTGTTTATACACCACTTCAACGACACCACGGTACCGTGGACATTAACAATGAATTTTATATATTATACCTACGTGAGGTTCTTAACGGACATTATCCCTTTCCCCGAACTGTGTCGCCTTCGAGACGTAGTGAAGACGCTTTTACGCCGCTTCAACTATATCAAAACGGTGGAACTCGATTAAGTGAGAGTGTATGGTTTTACGCCGCTTTTAGCAATATCACGGCGGGGGACACCATGTGGGGAATCGAACCCGGGTCTTTGGCGTGACGAGCGAACGCCTTTACCACTAGGCTACCCCACCGGAAATACATTAATAGTTTTACAAATTGCCACCAGTGTCGTGTGTATCGACGTAACGGTCATTGTCCGTGTCAAGTAAATTACAGGTGAGGATTCCGTGGACCCAGGTAAACCTTGTATAAGACGGGGACTAACAGTTCTGACCATGATGCTTCGTTTGTGAAAGGTCAAAGCTAAACACCCGTGAAGATCCGGGTTAGAAATGGTCTTCAGCAACCCATGCTTGTCGTAAGAGGCGACGAACGGGATCGGATGGTCAGGCTTGCTGACTTGGTTGACACATGCCATCGTATCCCAACTGCGTAAATTGATGATCATGCTGTTGACCACTGGATTGTCGGGTGCAGACTCGATTATTTACAGAGCTATTCCATATAGCTGGAATATTGCTGAGTGTGGTGTTAAACAACAAAACAAAGCAAGACAATCGCACCATTCATCTAAGCTACTGCTGCTGGTTGATGGGATGTTGTATGTCTACAACACTTATCATAACCAGAACTGCATGAATTGGGTTTATTTAAATAAAAGTATATTACTTTTGTACTTTGTTAAAATCTCATTGCTGAAGGTACTACTTTACTTTTCAAAAACTGCTTAATGTAACTAAAGCAGAAAATTGTATTTGCTATGTCTGCTGAGAAGTAAAAAACAAATGTAAATATTTATTTTCTTATATTTCTCAACCAGGTGCCAACCACATTAACCTTGTTGTTTCTACTGCCTGTCACATTTGTGTTATATGTTCAGCACTGTCCTGAGTCACAATCACTCACAAACATACAGGGTGGTGAGGTAGCCTAGTGGTTAAAGCATTTCCTCATCAGGTTGAAGGCCGGTTCGATTCCCCACATGGGTACAATGTGTGAAGCCCATTTCTGGTGTCCCCCGAAGTGATGTTCCTGGAATATTGCTAAAAGCGGTTTAAGATCATACTCACTCACAAACATAATTATTTGTGAGATATTGTTTGTGTTTGTTCCGGTTGGGGTGGATGGGCATCACCACAAAAGACAAACTTTAATCAGTATACCATGTTAACAAGTGTATAGGGTGTGTTGGGAACTGCCCTCTGACTTCTATTCATGTAATATTTCCACCTGTTTCACCAATCTACTCAATAGTGGGTAGCATACATATGATTGGTTTCTTGTCGTAAGAGGCGACGAACGGGATCGGATGGTCAGGCTTGCTGACTTGGTTGACACATGCCATCGTATCCCAACTGCGTAAATTGATGATCATGCTGTTGACCACTGGATTGTCCGGTACAGAGCTATTCCATATAGCTGGAATTTTGCTGAGTGTGGTGTTAAACAACAAAACAAAGCAAGACAATCGCACCATTCATCTAAGCTACTGCTGTTGGTTGATGGGATGTTGTATGTCTACAACACTTGTCATAACTAGAACTG